TAGAAAGACATTAGTACTGAGTTAACCTTCTTGGCTTTTTTTATTCATTTATTTATGTTAACTACATCCAATTGCTGTTTAAAATTAAAAAAACAAAAGCCACAAAGTGAGAGTATAGAAGTCCTATTGTGGCATTTAAGTGTGCAATGATAATCTCTGTGCATATCTGAGTATATACAGGGAAAGGTCACAACTGCCTATGACTGCAGGTCCAGATGATCCAGTGCCCTCTTCTGGCCTCTCTGGATACTCAAATACATATGTTTGTGCAAACACACACATGCATCTACACACAAATAAAAATAGAGCAATATTTAGATCTTTACCCCTAAGCTTTTAAAGTAATATGAGAGGTGGATCTATTTAAATACATGCGGACATAGTGAGAATTTTACAAATGATTTCAGCTTCTTTGCAGATGCACAGAAGCCTGTCCCTCTTAATCATGAATCTATATGAATCTAGGAATGAGATGAAATTATTTGCACATGTTCAGGAGATTAGGAATTCTTTTTCCATGCGATGGCTCAGTAAATAAAGGAACATGCCTGCAAGGTTGACATCTTGTAGCTGAGTTAAATCCCCAGTATCCATATGATGGTGAGAACTTACATAGACAGTAAATTGTCCTCTGGACATCCACTCCCATGTCATGGTACACACACACACACACACGCACACACACGCACACATTCTTAGTACATAAAATGAAGTCTGTAAACATCTCTTTTATTTCCTGAGATGAAGTGAGGAGATGAGAGGCATACCATAGCTTGGGTTGAGCCCAGAGTCTTTCCTTCCCTGTTCTAACTGTCCCTAGGGTTAAGCCTGTAAACTTCTAGCCTCTATATAATCCAGTCATCCAAGCTAACTGATTCAATGTGGCTTCTCTCAGCTTTTGACTGAATTGCTCTGCCTCATCTCATTCTAACTTTGGCAGTATCTTCAGGCTCCTAATTCTCTGGTTCTTTTTGTCTTCACCTGTCTGTCCTGTTCTCTCTGTAACCTGTCTCTAAAACTGTCCCAGTAAAACTGCCATACACACACTCGCACACGCACACGCACACCACTATCCCTCCTTTTTTCTTTCACCCTGCTCATAAATAGCTTCTCTTTCTCAGCTATTCTAATTCTGTCAAATCTTTCTCTGATTCTTCACTTTGTCTGCCCTTCAATTAGACATCGCTTTCAAACATGGCTGCTTCTTTCTACTAACAAAGCTTACCTTCCTTGTTAGGGATTAAAGGTGTGTACTAAGGGCATGTCTGTTTTCTATCCTGATCAGACTGTAATTCAGGGCACATCTGCATCCCAGCCTGATGGTGTTTTAGTATTCAGTCCCTTGCCAGGGTAGCCATGTTGCTGGACAGAAAACGAATACTTTTTATTACTTGTCTTTATTTTCAGTGGTATAGAATATTTTCCATTAGAAAATTATCAGTACTTTGTAAGTTACAGCTACTAATCTTACCCTCTGTGCTCCAGTTGGAATTCTTCTTGATGAATTTCAGAAGGGGAGAAATTGTGGTCTTTGTGGCTACTAAGGAAGCAAGCTTGCTTCTCTCCATTCTTGATGGGATTTTGACAGATATTACTTTGACTAAAAGTACCTGAATTTGGACAGAACAATGAACAAGACACTGTTGTGAAGAAAAAAGATCTCCTTCAGTACACTTCTGTATATCAGTATGTGCTAATATTAAGCCACAGTTTATCCACCATAAGTAAAACATCCAGGCTTTAGTGGCTGAGACAAATTTCAGCCTATCGACTCCTCAGGAGAGCATTTTAATAAAACTGCAATGCTAGCTACAGCTTAGAAACTGCAGGAGATAAAATTATTTAAAGTACTGTAACTAACTCTCATGAACTGTTTATAAGTGTAGTTAAAGTGGTCTATGGTGAACTACTTTATTTTAATATGAAATACAAACTAAATTGTTATGAAAACTAAATAATAGTTTTATTGTAGAGTAATAATTACCTGATTCAAATATATTGCATGTCTGAAAGGTAACAGTAAAGACCTTAATTTTTTAAAAAACTAATCTTTTTGTAATTGAATGGTAGTTTGCCTTTTAATCGTGTTATTTAAACTTGGTACAATTTTAATTGTCTAATTGGTACAATCACTTAGAATGACTTAAAAAGTAAGTTTATAATGCAAGGTTCTCAATAGGGTCTGTAAAATATTTTATTTCAGATTTAAATTTTACTTTTAGAGTTAAAATTGATAAAAGAATAGAGTGATTTAAATGATAATGAACAATTGTCCTTTTCAAAATAAGGTATTGGAAAATTTGATACGTGGTTGTTTGCTTATAACATAATAATAGTAAGATATCATTAGTCCAAGGAAACAGCTTGCTTTGATTATTTTTATTATTCATTCTATTAATAATATATACTACTGGAATCACATCTTTATTTTGAAATTTGATAATTTTAACTTTTCTAATGTATATAGAGTACCATTTTATTTCACAATATTTATTTGAGAAATAAAATAGAATACGAGTATGTAGCTCACATTCACACCAAGGGTGTGATTATAAAATAACCTCTCAATGCTATGTGATAACATGTACAAACAGTTATCTCATAATACTCAATTAATGCATGGTGTCACGAGGAAAAAGACACGATACAGTTCTCCAACCTTCTCATTGTTCAAGTAAATGATCAGGCTTATTTGTGTTTTGCTTCTGTTTGAAATCTGAGCGTCAGCATGAAGATGGCATGACAGGTGCATTTGCTGGAAAGTTGGGTGGTTTTGCTGGTGATCTTGGGTCATAATGTTTATTTAGAGATTGCCTTCATCCTAGTGATATGGAAAATTGTTTTTCTGGACCTCTCTTCTGAGTAAGGGCAGTATCCTGAGAATTTTCTAAAATTGGTAATAAACACCCTGGAAACAGTTTACGTTCAGTTCACTTATTCCTGCTACATTAATATAGTATAACTTTGCCGGGCGGTGGTGGCACACGCCTTTAATCCCAGCACTTGGGAGGCAGAGGCAGGCAGATTTCTGAGTTTGAGGCCAGCCTGGTGTACAGAGTGAGTTCCAGGACAGCCAGGGCTCCACAGAGAAACCCTGTCTTGAAAAACCAAAAACCAAATATATATATATATATATATATATATTTTATAACTTTAAGTATTGTGAATGAGAATTAAATTGCAGGCATTTTGAAGGTAAAATAAACCTACTTAGCCAAGGTGGGAAAGCTCACTCACTGCGACTGTTCCAGGTGTTCTAGGCTTGCACCTTCTGGGAAGTATTATTAAAAATTGCTAGGTGTAAATGCAAGAATAACAAAGTGTTAATCAAGCAAGTGTTAAAAGGTTTCTTTAAAAGTTAATATATTTGATGAGGCTGTTGAGTTAACATTCAATTATGTATGGAATTGAGATTTACATTATATAATTTTAAGCTTTATTCGGTACAACTACGGATATTTAGCTCCCTTAAAGCTCAAAGCAAGGGGAAACTGAACAGTGGCATTTAGGACAGAGGTCAAGGTCAGAGAGAAGATATACTTACCTTCTGAACTTTTATGCTTTCTGTACTGTTTATGGCATTCTATACATAAAAATCTCAGTTTTCCTGACCTCATTGCAGTTTCTGGGATCTGTCATATTGTAGCTTGCTTCATACTGCTACCTTTGACTGTGTGTGTTGTCAAGTAACTAACAAGCTTCTCAATGACTTCTCAAGCTGTTTGTTGATCATCTTCTGGTTAAAGGCAGTCACCATGTATTGTCTTTTAGGACAACCTTCAGCACAAACGTCTGTCATTGCCTAATTCTCAGAACTACAATGGTATGGACTGAGTCAATCTAGTTAACCAACTTCTGTAAGGTAGAAATTAAAACAGTGCTGGTGCAATTAAATTTATGACCCAGGTTCTGAACTGAAGTTTTAGACACATTCTGACACAGGCAAGCATGCACACATGCACACGCTCTCATGTACACTTTAGCCTTTGTTTTTGAGGCTGAATGGTACAAAGGTTGTACACACACACACACACACACACTCTACCCTACACATACAATTAAAGCTTTTTTGAGAGGTCGATCCCTCAGGGAAATCAGAGGTAGGTAATTTGTAAATAAAACTAGTTTAGATCTCACTCAGCACAGTTACAAGCTTTTGAATGATTTACACATAACTGTACCCTTAACTCTTTCCCTTCCATTGGTAAAAAATACTGCTGTTTGAGACAGTTTTCAAGCTAGATTACAATGGATTCTGACTATAGTCAGATTGAAGACTATTCAATTTGCCCTCTATCATAGTTGCTTCTTACTACAACAAAGCCTAAAGTGGAATACATATCTTCTTGTATTGTATTGCAAAGGAGCTAAAAATATAGAATATAATTTTTTTAAAAAATTGAAGTTTATATATGTGCTTCATGCAAGCCATAAAAGTGGAAACTTTTTTCTAAATAAGTCCACTTATTCATCGAAAGCTATCGGTCAGAATTCATGGCATAGAAAAAATACCTATAAAAATTAGAGAATTATCAATTAAATAGTTTTCAGGTGACTTCTCAGTAGCCAAGGATGCCATGTGGGTTTGCATGCATGCAATCATGTCCATATGTGTGTGGTGTGTTCAGTATGCAGATCTATCTACAGCTAACCAGCAGCAGCCAGCTGAGTATAGAGAAAACAGGCTTTTGTAGTAAAGTTGGTTTCACATCATCTCCTGTGTAGAGAGTTGAGAACAATTCACATCAGATGAAGAGGCAGAGTGCCTCATTCTCCTTGCTAACGCTTGTTCTGATGGTTCAGTGTGATCCGAATCATATTCATCTTCAGCTTAACAGTTGTCAGCTGCTGTCCATCCTGCACTGTGTTTAATCTATTAATCGTGGTCTACTTCTAAATTTTATTTAGTTCGAATCATTTCAAAACCGTCAAAATCTCAACCAGTTTCCCGAAAGGTGCTTCATGTGTTTTAATGAGCTTTCCGTTGTGTGTTTTTGCAGCAAGCTTAGTAGTGGAGGAGCGAACGAGACAGATGAAAATGAAGGTACACCGATTTAAGCAGACAACAGGGTCTGGGTCTAGTCAAGAACTTGACCACGAGCAATACTCCAAGGTAAAATTAGTAGTATCCGACCAATAGCATCCCCTTTAGAAACAACGGGTATATGTACTAGACGTGTGTGTCTGTGTGTGTGTGTGTGTGTGTGTGTGTGTGTGTGTGTATCACAAAATTAGAGAGCTCCGAGCTAGCTGTGCGACAGAAATTGTCTTTAACTTCTAGTCTCACATCACGGTTGTTCATGCAGCTTGACACGTCTCTTCCACACCTTTGTATTTTCAGAAGTGACATTATATTATGGAGATATATTTATTATGTTTAACAGCCATTCCAATGAGAAAACAGTGTCCTTAGCTACATTTGCAAAAGTTGAGCAGGGTATATAAGGCCACTTGTTAATGAAATAACAGGATATTAATTTAGAGTATTAAATATATTTTATGTCATGTGGGCTATTGAATTAATGACAAAAGCCATACAATGTGACAGTTTTGCTTATTTATCTGTCTTTAAAAAAAACACATGCTGTTTTAATCTTTCGTAAGAGGATTTAAGTTCCAAGAAGCATTTAATTTATATTCCAGTATTATTTTCTAGGAATATACTAGACATCCATAAACCCTGTTATCTAATACTTAATTAAAGTATGCAGCCCTATACTGTAGGAAAGATACGTACATACCTTACCTGGTTTATTTTGAAATGTTTCTCCTTGTAACATTAGGTTCTACTTGGTTATGATTTGGCATCCAGAAGTCTTTCTAGAAAGAGTGACTTATTAGAAATGGAGATAAGTCCAACCTACATCAAGTCAGTGCACTATGCTGAAAATAGAGCTTCAGCCATTTTAAAGTAATCACGTTTGCTCCATGTAGAGCAAGATAGACAAACTGTAAAAGACACAATAAAATATGGTTTATCACCCATAATATTCCCAATTGGATGCAGTGTATCACATTACAATTTAGATGCAGAAAACTAAGAATTCAGCAGTTAGAGCAGTCATGATATTAAGGGATGCCAGCCCACAGAGGCTTCCAGGAGCCTTTTAAAAAGTAAAATCCACACAAAGAAACAACAAACTGGTACACACATTAAGCAGAAACCTCGACTTCCTATAGGATAGCTGATGAGAGCTGTGCACATCTGTCTTCCTTTGCCTGACGATGATGTTCCCAGCTGATCAGCAGCAGCAAGCTAGTCTTCCTTTGCGAATCACCTCAAGGCTTTTTGTTTGCTTATACTGAGAATTCACTAAGAACGATAAGGCGAGATGATTATCAGGATAGATTTTTTTTTCCCTCACGGTTATGTACGGCGAGTTGAAATTTCTCCTTAGGGCAAATGCTTCAGTTCATCCAGAAATCCTTTCCTGATTTGTTATTCTTGCAAAAGTCCAATAGACCATCAAAGGGTGAGCGACCAGAGTGGGAAGCAAGGATGAGATAATTAAAGGGTTAGGATAAATTACTAAAGCCTTTGTGGGTGTTGTGAGCTAGGAGTCCAATCAGATCATCAGAAAAATTTGTACAAAGATCTGTTCCTCAAGTCTAAAGCACCAGTGTTCTTATAAATCAGGTAACCTACCCTGCTGGAGCAGGGGGGTGGGGGGCACACCCTCTGTACAAACCAGATTAGACCTTGGAAGAACAGCAGTCTTTTTTTTTTTAATTGTAGCAAAATTACTGATTGAGTAAAGGTGCCAAGGGTAAGGATCTGGAGGGAGAAACACACACACACACACACACACACAAATAAATTAATAAGCAACGTATTCTATTGCATCCTAACCATTTCCCAAAGAAACAGAATTCATTTACCAAAATTAGTAGAGTCCATGCATCAGAGAGTTACTTGAGGCTTAGACACAACTCGATTTTGTTGTGACATCATCAATAAACCCTCCAGTCTAGCCCGACAGCAAGCCTTGTGTTCTCAATGGCATCCATTTATTTTCACAGATTAATGCTTTTTGCATATTGATACTTTTACATATTAATGTTATTCGTGTGGATACCCCTTTCCCTTTTCTTCACTGAATTTGAATATCTTTTTTAAAATGTCTGGGGTGGCTCAGTAGTTACTTTCTGAAGCTCATACTGTTTTTGCAGGGAACCCACTTTTGATTCCCAGCATCCACATCGGAGAGTTTGCAATTGCCTGTGACTCCAGCTCTGGAGTGAGGGCGTGGGGAATACCTCTGACCTCTAACAGTACCTGTAATAGGTGCACATAGCCCCACATAGACACAAAGAGATGCACAAAACACTTAAGAAGTGATTGCTTTCATTTTTATTAATATTTAAGTTAATTTCTAAATAATGTGTTTCTCTGTAACCTCATCACACATGTACATTAAGAAACCCTGCCCACACTCTCCCGTGTCTCTCCACTTCTGCCTCCATCTTTCTCCCCAAGGCACCCCTTTGTGTTTTCAGTCACTTATATATGAGGCATATGAATTTATATAAATATAAATATGAAATACACATCTAAATTTCTGTCTGAATGTGAGAGGAAACATGAAAATTTGACTTCCAAATAATCTCCTTTTATTCTAAAAAATGGAATTATAGCTATGGAATTATAGCTGCACTACCAATAAATGTGACATCAGAGATGTAACTTAAAAAGGTTTAAGAATGTTAAGAATGAAACTAGGAAAATCAAAGTAACAGTTGCCAGTCTTTTTTATTTTGTATCACAAATAAAATTTCATATTTTCCACAACCAAAATATTTATATTCTATGTTAGTGTTTCTAGTGAAGTTTTCACTGAATTTATGTTACATAAATCAAAACTCATTGATATCAATGAGCACTGGCGAGTAGCTGTTTCAGCTAGTTCAGTTTTTCTTCATACATGTTCAGATGAGAGTTCTCTTTTTACCCAAAACATTTTGTTTTGCAAATGACTTTCACTGCTATAAAATACTGTCAGTATTTTCATAAGTGTAGTATATATTACATTTTGAGCTTTTTTTCTTTATGGTATTTATGGACTTAACCTATTTAAGAAAGTAATTAAAACTCAAAACTAATAAATTTGATGAAACAGTTGAAAATTCTACTGTATGAGAAATTAATTAACCATTCCCAGAATAGTTTTATTTGCCAACCAGAATAGTTTTATTTGCCAACAAAACTAGATTTTGTTTTTCTTGCTCAAAGATTACCAAATGAATGTGATCCTGAGATCTGATTTTAAGTCTGATCTTTCTTCTGTCTAATGCTCTCCAAACGGAGCTATTTCAACAAGGATATATGAGCTTGGTCTGTTTTTAAAGGATTAAATCATCCTCCTTTTCATCCAGAGTGAAGAATTCATCCTGGCCTGGCTGCTTTGGAATCTGTGAAATGCGTCCCCATGCTTTTCCATGTGACGTTGTTTGGAGTTAAATGGGTAGAAGCCATAACTGGAGGATAAAGTTCCACTTAGGCCGTCATTTATTACAGGACTGTTTCTATAATCCTGGGGCAGCCATCAAGAGCGTGGCAGTGATTGGTAGAGATAGCTACAGTGTTCAGTATTACCAGCTTCTAAAAACAGTGACCCTATAATTAGAACCTTCCCTCTGGCGATGACGTCTTTCCCTGCAGGATGACTGAATAAATTCCACCTGAGGGTATTTCATTCTTCACTGTATAATATATGTATTCTTTTGACTAAATTACTAATGAGGATATTTAACAAATCACAGTAGTCGAAAAAACAGATTATTTAAAAGGTTAACAAGTTTTTGAAAATCAGTAAAAAAAAAATTAGTAGTTGAATGTAAACATAAAGTCTTCCATTTTATTTAGTTAATGTGGAGGAAATTATATGGTAATTGCTACATATCCCGGTGTAATAACATATGTAAAGACATTTTCATTCTCTCTTTTAGAAGCGTGAACATCTCTATTCACACAGACTCAGATAGAGGTGACTCACAGAAAAAAAGATTTCATAAATTAAAGTTAGCAACAAAGCCCTTTATGCTCACAAGCCTTCATGCGACTGTCCCAGTATTGCCATCAATGTATTCCAGTTGATAACATAGTGAAAGAGAATTCAGTACGCCCAAAGAGATTCTCAGGGTGTCAGATGCTACTTATCTCTCCTTTAAATATTGGCAGATATAATGAACACATAACACATCCTTGGTCACGTGTAGTTTTAATCTTGGTGCCTCATTTGATACTTTGCAAGTGTTGGGATCAGATTCTACTCCATTTCTTCACACATCGGTGCATTAGGAGTGGTTCTGAATGAAAAGAATCATGTTGGACAGAATCGGGGTATCAGATATGACGTAGTTTATGGGTGGACTGGAGAACTGCATCACACTGAATACATGAGTCATATGAATTTGAGACTAAATTAGTCTCCAGACTTAGTAGCATATGTGACGGCTTTCAAAGGTAAACATCATTGTGATAAAACTTTAGAAAAATTAATTTTATAGATACACTATTAAGTGTATATTGTTTTCCTCATAAAAAATTCCCTTAAATAAAGGGTTAGAAAATAAACACTGGGAAATTACTTTTAAAATTTTATTTCCATATATATATTACACACACACACATGCACACTCAGGAAAAGAATGCACTTATGTGCTACATTTGAGACGGATAGTTCAAATTAATCAAGATGCATGCTATGAAGCATTAGAGAATATGAGACTTTCCTAAAAATTAAGAAGCATTTTATCCCCTTATTGCTCACAGACCTAAAATTAACCTGCTTAGTAGGAAGTAATAGGGATAGCAATATTTTATTTTATTTAATTGAGTATAGTTTTTTCCTTCTGTTAGCATAGAAAACAATTGCTTAAATTATTTATACTTAGAAAAACATAGCACCATTTATAGTTATAGCATTGTATATTCACTGTATGGTAGACCTCAATAGGACAACAGAAATTGAGTAGATAACTCCCCTGATAAATTTGCATGATGACTTATTTTACCTGAAATGTTAGAAACAAAGTACAAAATTTAATGTCATTCAAGACAAGAAATGATAAAATGTAAATACAAAAAACAAACGAGTAATGTAGTTTCAGGTTTTAAGCGTGACCAGTTAATTCCTTGACTTTTTCCACGCAAACACTACAAGTGTGTGTTCACTCTTCCTAAGTCATATCTAGTCATTGAAAGGGTGTCGGGTTTTTCTTGAGATTCGTCTATAATATGAATGCTTCCCTGGCCTTCTCTCCTTGACAGACCTATCCTTTGATTTCCTTTAGGTAAAGCAGTCATTAACCTCAAGGGCTGTGTGTATTCTGTGCTGTGACCTGATGGTGGCGCTCATTCTTTCTTGTGTTTAATCTTTAGTACAACATACATAAAGATCAGTACAGAAGCTGTGATAACGCGTCTGCCAAGTCATCAGATAGTGATGTCAGTGATGTGTCCGCCATTTCCAGAGCCAGCAGTACCTCACGCCTCAGCAGCACAAGCTTTATGTCAGAGCAGTCTGAGCGCCCCAGGGGTAGGATCAGGTGAGTTGGCAATGCTGTCTCTGTTAACTGGATCTATATCCTTCGTATGAAATCCATCTACCTTCCAGAATATTCTTTGGAGGGTACAGTATAGATTGTGTAATGGAAACACCTCGCTATAACAACTGTGTGGGTTGAGCATGCACTACATATTCTGTAGAGTCACTGAGAGAATATTTGATACTATTTCCTGCAAACTTAAGCTTGTTACTATGGCCCTCACTTTAATCGCTCAGAGTTGCAGTCGCAGGAGTCCTCTCAATGCCGTGTGATCAGTAGAGTATCTCTTAGTCCAGAATTAGAAAGTTTTTCCTTTAAGAGATTGCACAACAAATATTTTAGCGTCTATAGGACAGTATCCATAATAAATATTCAACCGCATTATCATGGCGTGCAAGCCTAGCCAATAAGCGATTATGTGTGTTTACATGTTTAAGTATGTATGTATGCATGCCTGTGTCATGCATCTCCACCTATTTGTTTGGAATGTGTATTTTATTTTCCCAAAGACTATCATTTTTGTTTGGTTTTAGTTTGGGTTTTTTTTTTTTGATTGTTCTGTTTTGTTTTGTTTTGTCTCCTACTTCAACCATAATAATGGATCTACTTTCAAGGGAAAGCATATTGGATATGAGACCAGCATGTACATCCAAGATTCAGATTATGTGAGTTGTAAAACTTGTGCACCATTGCATCACCAGGTGTGCTTTGGTTCTTGCATGACAAGCAGCCTGTAGGAAGCTAAGGACAAAGAACTGCAGACATTCTGGTGCTGTCCAGCCTGAGCTGCATCCGTTGGCATTTGATCTTGTCTTCTTTTTGGAGACAGTTTACAGAAGAAAACTGAGGAAATGAAGGGCTTTACACTTAAATAGGAATGCTCATTTTCAAAATGAGAAAAAGTGAATTTCCGATACTCTGAATTCCACGTGTTGGTGCACAGTAAATCATACCCTGACATTGCCATCACCGACTTCCATCCCCTTTGCTTCTGTGCTGAGGGAAGGAGCCGTTGTTTTGTTATCAGTTTCATGACTGATGTCATGATGATTAGATGAGTGATGTCTCTGATTTTAGGGAGATTGGAGAAAAGGCAGAGCAACTTTAGGCATCTCAACAGGGGTCTGTGTTTCCCTACAAGGAGGCCTAGTGCATCAGATCCAGTGCTGTTCTGTGGGGGAGATTCCAACCTTAAAGAAAAACGTAATGTTTAACTGCGCTGTAAGTTAAAGTGCAAAGTAGAAGATCTGTTCCCTTGGACTCATGAGTTTTCCTTTTTGAAACTAGTAGGGAGAGAGGTTCTTCTGAACAGCCCACAGGAGACTTTATTCCTGGCAACCCATCTCACACAAGCTTCCTGTTTCCCACTCCTTCCCTGCTCTGTAGCTTAAGACCTGTAATAACTGAGATTTTATTCACGTAAGTGGATTATATAAACCATGTTGCTCCTCTAGTAGCTAAGTAAGTTTCCCTTTTAGCTATGAAGAGACCTACATTTCTACTAATCCCGGTTTTGTACTGGGCAGCCTCTCTTTGCTGTGGATCTTACAGTTGATATTATAACACAATATACTGGAATACAGTAAAAGATATGTGGGGAGGAGCAAAATCTCATGACACTCCAAAGCTAAGAAACCTTTCATATATATTATTTTCCATATGTATGTACGTAAATACAAAATTATATGGCTCTGGAGATATGGCTCACAGATGAAGAGCACTGGCTACTCTTCATAGGACCAGGATTCCATTCCCAGCATCTGGAGAAGATTGTAATTCTAATTCCATGGGATTTAATGATCTCTAGTGACCTCTGTATGCAGTCCACAGGCATTGGTGCAGGCAAAAACACCCATATTCTTAAAATAAAATGAAAATAAAACACAAGCACACACACACACACACACACATACACACACAATGCCATACTACACCACACCACAGAGCTCTTTGCTGCCAATATTCACCCTCTACTAACAGCTTGAGATGAGTTAGTTTGCAACAAAAAGCAGTAGCTAAATGGGGTAGAGTTAGAGGGGGCATACAGGGCCTCCATTGTATATACCCGCTGCTTCCACTGGGAACTGCATGGTGACTGTTTATTCTTCCCTTAATCCTATATGTTTAAAGCCACTGTTGAGAAAATGGACAAAGCTGAGCCAGTTCCGTGATAGAATGTATCTAATGTCAATCATTTTAGCTCCTACTATGTAAAAGGACTTTATTCTTTTAATACGTCATTAAAGGACGCGACAGACTAATAACTCAAGGGGCCTTTAAATTATTCTGCCTAAGGCTTGAACACTTGTCCTACCTTCTGGATACCTGTGTTCATCTCCTGTCATTCTGGTTGTCATTCCTGTCAACCATGTTTTCTTATATGCTGCCTCAGAAGACCTCGATTTGGAGAATTAACAAAATGATTCACGGGACATTACAGAATTTATTAAAGTCAGTTTACTGCCCTAAAAGTCACTGTAGTTTCTAATGTTGTCAGAAGAGTCTATGAACAGACATCATATAACATGGTCTTATTTTCTTATATAATAAAATAAGATTGTCACTTAAAATACCAATGTTTTCTAAAATCTGGCTATTACATTTCCAGTGATGTGTGTCAACTTGACACAAGCTAGAATCCTCAGAGAGGAGGGAGTCTCCGTTGAGTTAATATCTCCAAATGTAAGCATTTTCTCAATTAGTAAACAATGTAAGAGGGCCCAGCCCAATGCGGGTGGTGCCATCCCTGGGATGATGGTCCCAGGATCTATAAGAAAGCAGGCTGAACAAGCCATGTGAGCAAGCCAGTAAGCAGCACCCCTCCATGCATCAGCTCCTACCTACTTAGCCAACTTCTGCTTGTGTTCCTGTCCTGATTTTCTAAGAATACACTGAATAAACCCTTTCCTCTTTACTTGCCTTTTGGGTCATGGTGTTTTGTCAGTTGATGATCAGGCAATTGGATGTGAACGGAAAGAGACCATTCCTTCCTCCAGACATGTCCTCTTCCAAGGTGCTCAGTTTAAAGTGCTCTTGTTACCCTCTCCTGATAGACTAAATAGTTTGTTCAAAACCATGCAAAGCATATTTAGGTTTTCAATTTCACTTTCCCGGAAAGCAACAGAAAGAAAAGAAACCAGACTGCAGTATTTGTTTCAGGTTAAATAACATTTTGCAAATATAATTACTTAAAAGTTGTAGAAATGTTACACATTGTTCACAAAAGTGAAGATGTTTCAACAAGACAGAGTTAACCCTTAATATACCAAATATTAGGTATCAATGGTGTTTGAATGTCAACACCTCTGATATATTCTGTATGCACTTTATATTTGGAGGCTTCATGGGGCCTAGCTTCTTCTCAAAGAAGATTCTATATCTGAATATAATACAATATGTATTTCTGTGTGTCATAACTCATAATAGGAATGTGTATAATACTGGAGTTGATGACTCAGTCACGTGGACCTAGTTGGGATGCTCTGAAATCACCAAAGATGTGGACACAGCACTGTATGCTTGCTATTGAAGCTGGGACAGCAGAAACAGGAAGACCCCTGGGTCTTATTGACCATCAAGGCCAGTCAAATCCACAAGCCCCAGGGTCAGTGAAAAATTATATCCAGGAAAAAAGGGCAGAAGGAATGGAGAGTCTCCAAGTTAATCACCATCAGCTGCAGATAGCAGCATTCCTGATGAGGGTTAAGAGATGCTTTCATTGTGATAAGTCAATAGATGTTGGTTTAATACTATGTCCATTTAGCATAAAAATAAGAATAGTTTCTCCCTAAGGACTATGACCTGTCTAGCCATGAGTTTGTGGCCCACTAATAATACAAGTTATAGGCTTCATCTTGCAGGGTACGGCTTAAATCAGTGATTGCTCTCAATGTTTATGCCACTTATTGCAAGCAGTGGGGGGCGTCTTGCCAGGCCAGTCATTATTGCTTCTGGCAGAGTTCATAGGTGGGACTCTGCAGATGATCACGCCTTTTTTTGGCTCCTCCGTTAGTGTGAACAGCACCTTCTAGCACTATGCAAGCTACCCAAGAGGCATGAAGCCTCCAACTTAATGCCATCTCAATTTCTCTATGTTTTATGACTCGAATATGGGATGACTTCAGCAATCAGGTCTTACCTTCAATTTCTGGGGGATAAGGAATAACCTAAGCAATAGCCTGTAATGTTTGGGAGTCTCACTGGCCAGTAGCTCCAAAAGAGATAATACATTCTTATCACTGGGCCTTCTATATGTCAGCCTGTGATGTCTCGTAAGCATTGCCCCTCCCTGTATGGTAACCCGTTTTTAACTCTTTATATGTGTGCATATTTATACTTTAGGAAGCTTTAACGATGTTTCCGTATGACTTTTACAAGAGGTCTTCAGTGTTATTTATCCCCCCCCCAGATATTCCCACCAATACTCTGCTTCCCAATCCCCCAACCGAACATAGCCATTCCAGGTCCACTATTCCCCTTTAGCCCTTTATACCCCTGTATTCTTTTTCTCCTCCTTTATTGGTACAGTCAATTAGCATATGGCAATTACACACATGACGGAATTTTAGGAGATTTGTCAAAACTAACGATTCTGTAACAGAAAGTTTTGTAATCTATTTTCTCCCAGCTTTACTAAAGTTGACTTCCCATTGCAAGAGGGGTTTTAAGAATCAGACTAAAAGGACGGTATGATGCAAATATATTTTTGTTCTTTTATTATCCACTTCTGAAGAGCAGTTTTGTTTTCACTGAAAGCAGTTATTTTTACACCTAGCCTGTGACAGTTTTAAAAGGATTTAAAACCAGTTATTGCCTGCCCTTAGACAAATGGCCATCTTGAAACTATACATTAACAAAAATTTGGCCTTTTGATGTCAGGAAGCATGCGTGAGGGAAAGGTTATCGTATTCATCTGTGGCTTTTCACATGAAAAAGCTTTAATTAATTTATTGTAATTATTTCATTAACATTAACAAAAGGGTTGATATCTTTTCAGAAGT